GGCAAACCTACTGAAACATCTTTCCTACATAAGGAACTCACTAGCTAGTCACCAGAGGCTCATACCTGTAATCTAGCTACTCAGGAGGCTGAAATCTGGAGGATGGTGGTTTGAGGTGACTCTGGGCTGGAAAACCCAAGAAATTCTATCTCAACTTAACCAGTAAAAAGTGAGATTGGAGAGAGAGTGCTGAAAGGTTAGAGTATTTGAGGCATTGACCATTTGTTGCTTGTTTCAGAGCAGAGCAACACGTGATGTTAAACCACCTGGTTGTGTGCCCTTACAAGACCTGCAAATCCTTATCTCGGGGCTCTCCTCCTGGGCTCCGCTGTGTCTGAGTGTAGGACGAGGCCCAAGCTGCAGCCTGTTTAAATAAAACAGCTGTAGAGTCTGACTCTCGGTGGTCTTCTTGGTGGGGGTCCTGCGACCTTGGCCTAACAGTCCAAGCCTAGTAATGGCAAAAAAAAGAAAAGGAAGGAAGGAAGGAAGAAAGAAAGAAAGAAAGAAAGAAGAGAAGAGAAGAGAAGGAAAGAACAAAACTCACTGTCCAGAACACAGGTATCACCTTTCCCCACTCTCCCTACCCTGAGTAGTCCAGAAATAGCTGTTGAGGGAAGAGTAAGAGGTACAGCTTTGGCCTCAGCCTCTCTGAAAACTGTAACCCATCACTACCTACCTATGCACCCAGTTAGCCATTCTCTCTTCCTCCTTGATATCCACCAAGGAAAGGTATGACCTACCCAGCTCTGTCTCTTAAATGACACTAGCCTGAGTTTCTTCCTCTGCAAATGGGAGGAGGAAGTGATAGCTACCTTGCAAGGACATAGTAAGGAAGAGCGTAATGTTGCCCAGGAGAATGGTAGAGCTTTAGTCTCACCTTCTTTGGGATCCTGAGTGCTGAGAGATTCCACTGACCTGGGACATTCCCTCTTATTTCTTGGTAAGAAGGAACCTTCAGAGAGATGGCTTGTGGCATATAATACAGGCTTGTCTTCCTCTTCCTCAGAAAGATGTTCTAGATGCCAAAGGAATTTCCCAACATTCAGAAAGAGGGCAGGGCAAGAAAGAGGCCACTGGCTCTGTAGCAAAACAACAGTTAGTTCCTCATGGGCAGAGTTAATTCTCTGCAATTAGAGGTCCTGTAAACTGTGACCACTGGGTCTCTTGGCCACAAAGACTCACTTGGAGCATACTTAGAAAGCATGGGAAGATCCTGACCTAGAGAGGAAGGAAAAGGGTGGAGATGGGTCACATGTGGAATACATGTGACTCAAGACCATATCTGTATTGCTAGGCCCAAGGCATACAAACATAAATCCCACACGTCCTTTCTTGGAGGAAAGCACCTGAGAAGGTAAAGAAATAAGTGAAGGAGCAGTAGGGGAGAGGGAAGATGAGAGCAAGGCAGGGGAGGATTAGGGCTTACAGGGGAATCAAAGTAGCCAGAAGGCCCAACAGTGCCTAGAACCTATGAAGGAGCTGGTGTTGTAGATTTTATTGGAAACCAGGGGAAGATTTTGCTTTTTTTTTTTAAAATAAAGGTAACCAACATTCATTTCAATTTATTTTATGCTAAATTTATTCTTGTGCCATGTTTTTGTTTCTCCAGTTTTTTCAGGATACATTTTCTTCTGTGTAACTTCCTCTTCTGGTTTAGGAACTATCTGCTCCTTTTCAGGATCATCTCAGTGTTGCAGGGGGAGTTCATGTATGGGTTAATCCTACTGTGAACGCTGTGAGTTCCGTGGCATGTCTCGGGTGCTTTGTTCACCTGGATGTGTTTAATGACCGGGGAGTCTGCATCTAAACCCTTCAGTTCAGCATGATTCTCTGCATTCTTAAGCTTGTGCAGCAGAAATTCAGCACTCATTTGGGGCCATCAATAGCCCATTGTTTAGCCTGGACACACTTGCCAACTCCAACATTATAACACTGGAATGGCACACATTGATCCTTTAAAATGACATCTTTCAGCTTGGTAGAGGTGGCTCACACCTTGTAATCCTAGCTAGCTACTCAAGAGGCTGAGATCTGAGGACCATAGCCAGACCAGGCAGAAAAGTCCCCAGGAAACTCTTTAATTAACTATTCAAAACAAACAAAATGAAACAAAAAACCCAGAAATGGCTCTATGGCTCAAAATGGTAGGATGCTAGCCTTGAGCCAAAGAGCTTGGAGACAGCACCCATACCTGTAGAGGGAAAAAAAAGACATCTTTCAGATACTTGGTAGCTTTTTAGATCTGCATACCCTTGATGGCCTCCACTGTGTCTCTGGTGGTCTTAATAAGTGAACATGATGACTTGCATGATGTTGTGGGGTTTTCTGGGTCAAGAGAATAGCGAACCATTTTCACAGATCACTTCAGGTCGCTTACAGAAAGAACAAAAACCAGGAAAAGTTTTTTGTTTTTTTCTTTTTTTTTTAACCTTGCCGGTCATGGGGCCTGAACTCTGGGCCTGGGCGCTGTCCCTTAGCTCTTCAGCTCCAGGCTAGCACCCTACCACTTGAGCCACAGTATCACTTCAGGCTTTTCTGCTTATGTGGTGCCTCATGCATGCAAGGCAAGCACTCTGCCACTAAGCCACCTTCCCAGCCCCCAGGAAAAGTTTTAAGCAGAGAAAATTTTATGCAGAATCACCATGGGAATCTAGGTGAGGGGAGAGTGGACCACCCAGTCTCCCCTGAACAATGAGACCAGCACCTGCATGCTGTAGTCTCATCTTTCTGGGGTCTCCAGGAAACCACAGGGCTGGTCTCCCTCCCTCCCTCCTTTCTCCCCCTCCCCCCCCCCGCCACCATCGGTCATGGGGCTTGAACTCTGGGCCTAGGTACTACCTTAGCTCTTCAATTCAAGGCAAGGGTTCTACCACTTGAGCCACAGCACCACTTCCAGTTTTCTGAGGGGTTTATTGGAGCTAAGAGTCTCACGGACTTTCCTGCCCATGCTAGCTTTGAACCACCATCCTCAGATCTCAGCCTCTTGAGTAGCTAGGATTACAGGCATGAGCCACTGATGCTTGGCTGGTCTTTCTTTTGTAGGAGCAGAGGGGCAGAAAGTGTAGCACCCACAGAAGTCTAGCTGGGGAACTCACAAAGACCAGAGGGAATGTATTGGAGAGGAAACCAGCCCATCTCTAGCTAAGGTGGGAGTTCAAGGGCATCCCCAGACTTTCAGAAGAGCCTTAGCTGACTGACTGCAGCTCCTTGAGCAACACCAACAGGCTCACCCTTCAGGAAGACTATTTTGTCTATTTTGGTTGCTGTTATCCCCTCTCCGCCTCCCCGAGAGATTTCACTGAAATGAAACCCCCACAAATAAACAGGTGGATAAGGAGTTTCCCAAGTAGTTCAGGTGATCTGATCCCCAACTTTCTACCCATAAAGGGCCATCAGCACTGGAAGAAAAGTCTGGATTCCCCAGAATCTATAACATTACAGAATGAAATGGATTTATAGCTGTGATGATGTACCTTAAGATGGAGACTATCCTGGTGACCCAGGGACCTAATAATCACTTGGGTCTGATAAAGCAGGAGAGTGGTATAATGTAGATTGGAGACACTCACGTGATTTACTGCTGGCTTTGAAGGTGGAAAAGGTCAGGAACCAAGGAATGTGGGAACAGCCTCTAGAAGTTGGCAAGAAATCAGCTGGTATTGGTGATGAGGGTTATTTTGGCAGTACTGGGTTTGAGCAGGCCTCCTGTTTCCTAGACAAACTCTAACACATGAGCTACTCCTCCAGTCCCCCCTTTGTTTTTTGCTTTTTAGTTACCTTTTAGATAGCATCCCACACTTTTTCTGCAAGCTAGCCTCAGACTATGATCCTCTTCTCAGTGCTTCCTGTGTAGCTGGGCATATGCCATTACTTCTAGCATCTTTGTTGATATGGAATCTCATGAACTTTTCCCCCTGGTTGGGCTCAATCTGAAGCCTTCTGACCTCTCTTTCCCAAGTAGCTGGGCTTATAGTCATGAACCAATGTACCCAGCCCTGTAGAACTTCCACGCAGTGACATAGTCCTGAAAACACTTGAAGAACCAAGTTAGACTTCTACAAAACTGTGAGATAATAAATTCATTTGATGTGGTAGTGAAGGTGGACTGTGTAAGTCTGGATCTCTCTTCATTGAGTTCTCCTCTCAGATTAACATCCAAAAAGGACCTCTTCTAGCCACTCTACTTCTGGTCACATTCTCATCATCTCTATAGTCATGGGCTCCAATCTTGATCATTACTTGAAATGCTGCGTTGACCTGATTTCCAGCTTTCCCCACTGCTTCCAGGGAACAGGTCCTTGATTATTTATCATGCTAAACCAAGCCTCGAACAAAATGCCTACCCACAGTGGAAACTCCACAAAGTATTTGATAGGTAGACGAGGGGGTGGATGGATGGACAGACTGACAGATGGATGGATATGGCAGCATGCTAACATCATGGACTTGTCAGTGACCTACAACATCGCAGCATGCTCAGTGGTCACTTATCTTAGTAGCAGCCTATAAACTCTCAGCAAAAATGGAGAATTATTAATCAGTTTCCAGCATACTTCTTCCAACACTCCTAGTAAGTCTTGCAAGGTCTCCAACTAACGCTGCCTTCCTGAGAGTATTCATGCAAAGTAAGATACAAATTTACTCTGCCCAGTTCAATCAAAGGGGAGTATGAGAGGAGCAAGTCTATGAGTAAATACAGCCCCCTCTAGGTCAAGCACTCAGTGAAGAGACCCTATGTTTGTTTTCAAAGCAGCCTTGCTTCTCGGATGTCTCAGTATTTTATAAACTCCACAAATAATCTGTTTCTCCAAAAATTGACTTGCCCATCCAGTCCAGAAGAGGATTGTTTACATTTAGCTGACTCTGGAGAAAAGGTAACAGGAAAAGGGACAAGGTAGCAGTGGCAAGATGAGCAGGTACCCGGAGACCAAGGGCAAGAAGCACCCAGAAAATTCAGTCAAGACAAAATTGAGGCACGGCATAGGGTAACACGTAAAAAATGGCATTTATTGGACTTAATTTGGATACAGACAACATGGAGTTTTGGTTTGTGAAGACTCAGGAGTCCGGAGTGATGAGGGCTTCCTGTTATCAAACCTCAGCTACAGGAAAATCCTGGCACAAAATAATGCAAATGAGACTTCATCCCACAAAAAGGAGGAAAAGTGGTTTGAAGTACTGCAGGTATCATTCACTCTTGCAGTAGACCCCAAGAGCCAAAATGCCCATAAATATCCACGAAGTTTTTACGTGTACAGCCGGAAGTATTAACTGTACTAGTATCAGGTGTGCACAAAGGTAAAGTTGTAAACTCACAATCAGCAGCAACAATGCACACAAGTCTGTACTCTGACACTCCCATTCCCAACCTGGGAGCTTCTACATGTAATTGATGTCTGCTGTCCTCATGAGAGGCACCTGAGATCTGGCAACAACATTTTCAATATATTGTTAACCTAATCAACCCAAAAAGCAAACCCAAGCATGGTTAATTACTTTGCCTGGATCAATAAATAGCCGTCTGAAGTGTGTGTGTACAAGGCCCTAACAAGGACAAGAACTTGTAACAAATCCTGTTACTCTTACCTACTAATGTTCTATTTGCTTATGTATGTGTAGACTTTACACAACACGTACACAGATTTCTTTGTTTGCAACTCTCAAGAGATCTCCTTTGGATGTTTCCATTCCACCATTCTTGTAGAAGGATGAAATTGAAACAACTTTTTAAAAACAAAATGTCCAAGTCATAAGTCATCTAAAGCACAACTCTTGTCGTAATGCAGGTCTGCACTCAGAAAAGAAATATCAGGACTTAGATGAGGTTAGGTTTCTTCTGCTGGCAGTTTACATGGCTCCTCACACTTTCTCATTCCCCTTTGTAGTAATATTGGATGATGAGGTGGTTTCTATCTTGAGATTTCATCAACAAAACTTACAACAATTAACAGGATCTCAAAGACCACCATGGGCCACCAGAAAGGACAGAGAAGCTCCTCTCTTCCCTTTTCTGGAGCTGTTATCAGCATAGACAAATACAAAGAGGATAGAGACTTAATGGTGATTAAAAAAAAACCCAGACCGGGAGGGAACAGAGGCTTTGGGATATATAGGTAAGGACTAAGAACAGTACCATAGCCTACTGTCTCAAAGAGCAGTTTAGATATTAAATCTCTGTCCAAGATCTTCCCTACATCTCCCTTGTCTCCCTCAACCAAAAAACACAATCCTCTGCCCAGAGGGCCAGCCCAATGCAGCTTCTTTTCAGAAACCATAACACAAATGCAAATCATTCCCAACTTAACTCCAGTTGCTCCTAGAGGCTGGTGGACATGAACCCTCTCTCTACCATAGAGATTACTTTGCTCCAAGCCATTCCTAGTATTTCTTTTCTCGGAGCTCTATTTGTCTGTGAACTTGAACATTTACCTCCTTGGAAATGATCAGTGCAAGACCCTATGAGCAAATATTTGCAAACAATCTTTTGAAACAACACACATTTTAGAAATTCAAGTCAAATCCAGGTACAGACTACTTGGCAGATGTCAGCCAGCCCCTCTGGGAATGTGGTCTGTTTGTGAAAGGGCAGGATTAAGGCACCAGCAACCCATAAGGAGTTTAGTCCTTGATTTGGGGAGGAAGCTTGAGAGGGAAATACAAAGACTTTATGACAGATAGGGCTATATAGCCTCATGGCTCTTTTGGGCCACAGGCCAAAGGCTTTGGTGTAGATAGCATGTAGTAGTAGTATCTGGATGTAGGTGAGATGGACCATCATGCACTAGTGGAATAATGAATGGTTTCCCAGTGATTCTAAAACTACAGTAATGAGGATGTATCCCAGCGCCATGCATGACAGGAGTTGTAGTGTTCTTTAATTCCATACAAATCTCTCTTTTCCTCCACAGGACTCTGCAGGAGCCTGAAGGAGAACCGCAAATGCCCAGCACACTATCAATTGGTTTGTGTACGATCCAGACAACCTCCTGCTACATTAATGCCAGAGGCACTGGGATATATCATTGGAATCATCAGGCAGTCCAGTACGAGAGAAAAGAGCTTGGAGATGAAGATCTAAGTTGGAAAAACCAGGCTGGAAGTGGGAAGGCAAACAATAGGCAGTTAGGTCTGTGTGTTTGTAAGGAGCTGATCCCAAACACCAGAATGAAGAGGTTTACAAGAGTTTTCCCCAAATGCACTTAGATCGGGTCTGTTCTAAAGGAAATAAGGCCTCATTGCCCAAAGGAAGAGTCCCCTGGCCATCCATGGGGTTGGGCTGTCTTCCTCCTGCATGCACAGAAGTAGCTGGGAAATCCTGGAGGCTCAGCTGAGGGAAGCGCAGTTCAGCTCCGAGTCTTCCTGGCTCTCGCTGCCTATCTCCTCCAGTTCGTCAGGACTGTCTGGGATGCTGGGCTCGCTGGAGCACTGCCGGTGGGGTGGGGTGAAGCTGGGTGGCAGAAGCAAGCACTTGTCCTCACTGCCAGCTTCTTCCCCCAAGCCTGAGTGCATCATGCCGGCCATAGCCAGCAGCTGGATGTCCGAGTGGGCGTTGGCCACCGTGTGCCGCCGCACACTGCCGCATTTCTCCAGGTAGGCCTCTCCTTCCTGCTCCGTCAGTGGCGTCAAGGCCATCTCATTCAGTGGCCGGCTGACAGTGGCCATTGGAGGGCCATAGTTGAGGAGAGTCACCTTGGGTCGGACTCTGGAATATCGCCTAGCTGCAAGGGGGGAGGAGGGAGCAATCAAGTCTGTAATTGAGGAGGGGGTAGAGGTCATCAGAAATCTCTCATCAGTTGGAGGGAGAGAGAAATGGTGGCCCAGCCTTTGGAAACAGCTTTAGAGAGAGCCCCACGGACATGCAGGAGATCTGGTCATGTCCACATGTGTGACTGTCTTATAATTTACCCACTGTACCTGCTCCTGCTCCGGAGCCACTCTTTCCCCATCAGAGCTGATTCTCAAGGACTTCCCCCTACCCCCATGGATTTTCCTCTCTTTCCAGCTGTCCCCCCAAGCCTCACTGGATGTGTCTACATTCCATTTCAACCACTTTGTCTGAAGAGGTAGTGAGTAGTTGGCTTGGTCAGCTCCAAAGAAGCTTTTGGCTCTGTTCACAATGTGGCATCCACACTGCTAAATCATAATGTTCAGTTTAATCCAGAGGAAGAAAGGACTATGGAGAACATTTCCTCACCTATACAAGCAAGCCAAGGCAATGGACCATCCTGCCGGTCATGAACCAGGGCACTAAGGACTCTCACCTCCCACCCGAATGATGTGCCGAGATCTATGTTCAAATCAAGCCGTGCTGTTGGAAGAATAGCTAAACTCTAGGGATAGCCTCCAAAGAGGCAGGGCTGTACTCAAGTAACTATAAAACCACTGCTTCTGAGTATATACCATGTCCCAGAAACTATGCCAAATCTTACCATGCATCTTTTGAATCCTCGTAGAAATTGAATGTAACTAATTATATACCATTAGCTTCTGCTTTGCAGATGAGAAAACTGAGTATTAGAGGTAATCATAGGTTACACAGCTAGAATATAGTCAAGCTGGGACTCAAACAAACTCTTTCTCTCTCCAGACCTCACTCGACCTGGAGGCCCAAGCAAAGCCCATGAATAACTGTAATAGGCACAGGTCCTATAGGAAGGGTCAAGCCAGTGCGGTAGAAAAGGTACCCTGGGACAATGCCAAGGAGGAGGCACATTGGAGGATGATGGAGAACTATCAGAATGGGTAGAAGGTGACAGATAACTTTCTCAACAATGGGAACAGCTTGAGCAAGTTGTTGAGACAGGTGTTCCTCCCAGGCTGGCTGGGACAGGGAAGCACAGAACAATGGAGATGTGCCCACTCAGGCCGGATACGTGCATCCTAGGAGGGCGCTGGGATGTCAGATGGAAGCATCTGTGACATGGCAGGCAGGATGGGGAAGTGCTTCAGGAAGAGGCCTTGGCAGGCCTGTGAAGGATGGGTGAGGACAAGTAAGAGATGAAAACTGAGGAAAGCCAGGAAGAGAGCCGAGGAAGCCTTTTCTATAACAAACATGCATTTTGTGTGGGGAAGGAAAAAGAATGCTAACATGAGTAAAGATGACAGGTAACCGGGTGTACAGGGGTAGATGAAATGACAGGGGCTAAAACAGGAATAGAGTCCTAAGAGTTAACACGCAGGCCACAGTTCTAGGCTTCTTGTGATTATAATGAATTAAATCAGCACCTAATGATCATTTTTTGAGTGGGGAAATTAAGGCATACAGGGATATTAGATGACCTGTCTTGCAATTACAAAGGGGCCTGCACCAGTGGCTCACGCCTGTAATCCTAGTTACTCAGGAGTCTGAGATCTGAGGATCACAGTTCAAAGCCAGCCCAGGAAGGAAAGTCCATGAGACTCTTATCTCCAATAAACCACTCAGAAAACTAGAAGTGGTGCTGTGGTTCAAGTGGTAGAGCGCTAGCCTTGAACTGAAGAGCTCAGGGACCAGAGTTCAAGCTCCACAACCTACAAAAAAAATTACAAAGAGATAAAATACTAGGAGATTAAAAAAACAACCAAATAAATAAAGCTGAAACTGGGGCCCAGGCATAGGCTGAGTGTCTAAACTGGGCAACCCTAGGATGATGGGAGAGGCTAAAGAAGAACCAAGTGGGGTAACTGAAGTCCAGAGAGAAGATTCTCACAGGAAGAAGCAGATCAAGCAGCAACCTCCATTGTCCTTGGCCTCTCCCCACCTTCACAGGGACTGTGTCAATACAGAGGCCTACAGTCTGGGGCATGTGAAGATCATGGTATGTCTGTGTACCTCCATCTCAGGGCAATCCCTGACCCATGCTTCTCCTTAGCACCCCACTCAGCCGCACAGCCTAAGCTGGATGAATGACCACTCATCAGTGTGGCCAGGAGAGAGCAAATTTGAAAGGGTGGAGATGCCAGAAACAGAGCTGCAGAAGGCTGAGAACAGGAAGCTCCAGCTTCAGGACTCTTCTTCTTCCTTCCACCTCCCTGTTGGCCAGATTAGACCTCTCCCCAGCTGCCACAGGCCACTGCTTTCCATGGTGCCCTTCCTGGATACCTTGAAAACCCAGAGAGTGCAGCCCCCATCCCAGCAAGGAGGGCCTGGCAGCACCAGCACTTCCAGGAGATGCTGCATCCCAAAACACATACACACACACACACACACACGTGTGTGGTGGGGGCGGAGGTCCACTATCACAGAAGCAATCATTTACCCAATGTCTAATACGTTGTAGGTATCACAAACAAGGCATTTCACCGACACAATATGCTGATAATTTTGCAGAAGGGGATCTTGCAGTTGAGGGGTTACATGACTATGATCTTGGTCTATGATAAAAACCAGAGCCAGGCGTCTGTAATCCTAGCTACTCAGGAGGCTGAGATCTGAGCATCATGGTTCAAAGCCAGTCCTGTCAGGAAAGGCCCTGAGGCTCATATCGCCAATCAACCTGCTCAGAAAACAAAACAAAACAAAAAACAGGAAGTGGAGCTGTGGTTCAAGTGGTAGAGTACTAGCCTTGAGTCAAAGAAGCTCAGAGACAGTGTCCAGCCCTGAGTTCTAGCCCCAGGACTGGTAATAAATAAATAAATAGCAGGACTCAAACTCAATGCCTGCAACAGAGTTGCTGCTCATGACCTTCACATGGATAGCTGCTAAAACAAGGTTGTGTAGCAAGTATCCAGACAGAGTCACAGAAACTACCCTGCAAGTGCAGAGGATGACCAGAAAAAGTGAACAAGGATCACAAGGTGGATTATTGTAGAATGACTTCTAGACTGGACCCTAATATGCCACATACTCACTTACTGGGGAGAGCTGTGTAAATCCTGGTATACAAAGAACTTGTTCCTTGCTCTCAAGGAGCACATGGTCTAAGAGGAAGACTGACAAATAATCAGACAATGGCCACACAGCATGACAAGGCTTTGGGGGTCCAGGAGATGGAGAGTAGGAAGCACATGCAACCTCCTACCTGGAATGGTTCTCTGGGAGTCATACCACCACTACCTGAGAGCTGTCACCCAGCAAGTAGCAATACCGGCTGGCCCTGCCCTAAGACAGAGCACTTTCTTCCTCCTGCATTCCCCCAACGGAAGGACAAGGCCTCGTGTTCAGCACTCTGCAGCTCAGAGAATCTAAGTAACGGATTCCAGGCCTCGACAGTTATGGCTGTCAAGGCCCCCTATCTTCACACACTGCTGCTGCCTCCCTCACCCTGCAATGATTCTTGAGGGAAGCCTACAGCTCCTCCTTTTGCTTTCTGAAATGTTCTCCTTCCCAGCTAGGTATGGGCAGAACAGAGACCCCAGGGGCTACATCGCTGCATCACTGCTTCCTTACCAAACTCTTGCCAGTCTCCAGAGCCAACCTTCAGGCAAGTGAAGGTCAGACAGGTCGAGCTTTGTCAGTCCCTGATGGGGTCCCTGGGAGGCCTGGAAACCAAAGGCTAGCTGGGCTGACAGACAGCTACCCACACTTACTTTTAGCTCTCTACCTCCCCCTCCTCCATCTTTTCTTTGCAGCAGCAAAAGCAAGACCATCACAGGGGGGAAGGAATCTGCTACCAAAGAACAGGTCATGCTGGGGGGTACTCACATCCCCTGGGGACCTAAAGACTGGTCTCAGAGGGAAGGATGCTACCTTAGCTGGCACCTACCTGCCAAGCCACATATCCCTGTCCTTCTAGAATTTCACAAAGAGTAGAGCCATGGGCAGCCTTTATTCCTTCCTCACGTACAGGTACCCTGCTGAGCTTGGCCATTCATTGCTCTGTAGCCAACAATGGCCACAGCTCCTTTCAGATCTCAAAAGAAGCAAAGGCTCAATAAGACTGTCCTTTGCCCTTTGTTGGGGACTGGTTCCCAGGCCTTTGATCTCCCAGGCTTGCCATAAAGCAGCCATTATTGCCCCTCTATCCAAGCCCACAGTGGCTCCTCATCCCAGGCCTTGAAAAGACCCAGAGGCCTACTTGTCATGCAGAGAAGTCACAGTGTCCTGAAGCAGGGCACCCCCCAAAGAGGGGCCACCCGGGGACACAAGAGAGGGAGGTCTGTGGGAAGCTGGGGATTTCTATGAGAGAAACCCAGAAGCCCAGTTTTTTGCTTGGGAGAGAGGGAAGATCTGAGGGACCCGTGAGCCATTGTACTGGGGATCCATTTTTGTTTTGTGTTTTGTTTTGTTTTGATTCACTGTCAAATGTTCTGCTACTTGCCTTTGCTCGCACAGTCTTCCCTCCCTGCTTACTCAGCCAACTCCTATTCATCCGACAGCTCTCCCCCATAGACCTCACTTCCTCCAGGGAACTTTCCGGAATTTCCTGGTCCAGATGAAGTCCCTGCTGTGGTTTCCCCTGCACTTCCCCTCAGAGCTCAGATGGGTACACGATGAGTCACCGTGTTTGTGACCTCCTCATTGGACCATGGGCCTTAGAGGGAAGGGATGTGTGTGCTTTTACTCACAGATATGGCTGCAACACCTCTCAAGGTACTTGGGATAGGGTTTCAGAGTACATTTGCTAAAATAATAATAATAATATAAAACTTGTTCAAAGAAGAATAATGTTCTTCCCTCTCTGTCCCTAGTGAGATAATTCTAAAAGTAAGGACTGTCCGTGGGCCTAATAAAGGTTCAGATTTTTGCCTTATACCTCGACAAAAATGGATAGTACTCATATTTTAGCTAGAACTCAGAAGTACCTCCTCTTACAGGGAGTCCTCACTGAACAAACTTGCAAATCTACCATGTTCCTTTTTTTTTGGTCGGTTGTGGGGCTTGAACTCTGGGCCTAGGCCCTGTCCCTGCGCTCTTCAGCTCAAGGCAAGTGCTCTACCACTTGAGACATAGCACCAGTTCTGGTTTTTGAGTAGTTTATTGGAGATGAGTCTCACGGACTTTCCTGCCCAGTCTGGCTTTGAACCACAATCCTCAGATCTCAGCCTCCTGAGTAGCTAGGATTATAGGCGTGAGCCACCAGCGCCTGACTCTACTATGTTTCTTATATGGAAGACAGTAAGACATTACTCTGAACTGGCAGGGTTCAAGGATTGTTGAAGCAAAGGCCACTGAGAAGTAGATTTTGGGGGCTGGGAAGGTGCCTCAGTGGTAGAACGCTTGCCTTGTATGCACGAGGCCCTGGGTTCGATTCCTCAGCACCACATAAGCAGAAAAAGCCGGAAGTGGCACTGTGGCTCAAGTGGTAGAGAGCTAGCCTTGAGCTGAAGAGCTGAGGGACAGTGCCCAGACCCAGAGTTCAGGCCCCACGACAGACCAAAAAAAGAAAAGTAGATATTTTTTGGGGGGGTCTCTGTACTGTTCCCATTTAACCTAAAAGTAAGACACCGACTTATGAAGAAAGAAGGTATTCTGTCCCCCTTCTCCCAGAAGGAAATGGTTAACCATTCTAGACAACTTTAGGCCTTGTCACCTGGGGGCAGTACCAAGAGTCTCCACTGACAAGCTTTACTAAGAAGCCACTACCTGCCATTTTCTTGCCTCTCCATAGGTCCTTAGAATTTCTAAGTTATTTTCCTCTTGTCATCTCTTCTTGTTTTATGTTGAAATAGCTGGAGTTTAAAGCTACATGTTGCCTCGGTGTCTCCCAGGTGTCTATGAATTATATGTGTCAATCAACTTGTTTCCTTTTGTCTTGTTAATCTGTGATAGGGCCTGGTCTCATCCAAGAACTTATGAGAATTAAAGAAAAAAAAATGTTTTTCTTACTCTACATTAGTGTTAGGCCCAGTCAGTAGCTGAATCCTTGCCATGGCCCAACTAACCAACTAATTGGCATGCTCCCACCTCTGAAACTTGGTGAGTTGAGTCAGTATCAGGAAGATAGGCTCTAAGGAGTCCACAGCAATATGGTACCCAGTCCAGGGCCAGGGAAAGCAGGCGACTATTTTCCTTCAGTATCATTTCAACTCTAGTTCTTTCCAGCTCTGGTGGAGTGAGTAATTGGGAGCAAGGGAGGGGAAGAACTGGCAGGCATCAGGCTGGGGCCAGTACCCTCCGATCTGTGGTGACTGAGGTTAAGCTAGTGTTTCCCTAGAAATACGACTAAGGCCAGGAAAACTGCCAGGAAGAGGCCTGGCCTTTTCTGCGAGGAAAGAAGCCCAGGAAGGGAAGGCACCATTCTGGAAGCTACTCCTTTACTCCCAGGACTTGAAGCCATTATAATCAAAAGAGAAGCAACAGATTCCAAATCCTATGGTGTTACCTGGGTGCTGGCTACCTCAGAGTACAGCTGGCTGCTGTCCACCTAGCACATAGTTTTTGAGTGCCTTCTCTAACCACATTACTATATTCTGACAGCTTGCATTTTAGGCAAAAACTAGGGAATATCTTTATTATAAGCTTCACTCCATGGCTGCTCCTACTGAGACTGTGGCTTTGCTGAGAACTATTTCATATGATTTTTTTTTTTTTTTTTTTGGTCAGTCATTGGGCCTGAACGCTGGGCCTGGGCGCTGTCCCTCAGCTCTTCAGCTCAAAGCTAGCACTCTACCACTTGAAACACAGCTCCACTTCCAGCTTTTTCTGTGTATGTGGTACTGAGGAATCGAACCCAGGGCCTCAGGCATGCAAGGCAAGCGCTCTACCACTGAGCCACCTTCCCAGCCCCTCATATGATCTTATACTGTGCTATCCAGCTGTTTATAAGGAGCCCCACTGATGTGGTCTCACCCATAAAAGAAGCAGATCTGATTTATGTCTAGATTTTCCACTGGCCTTGTACGGAGTCTGATGCCAATGTGGCTTCACAGACACCAAAAAAAAAAAAGATCCAGCAGGATTTGTCCCCAAATCCAGGAGTCCCTTTTCTTCTTCTTCAGCAAAGTCCACAGCAGCACCCACACCAATTGGGGGGGAAGAGGGGTGCATGGAGGGGACAGCAGCTCCATAAGGTCTGGTGTATGGAAGCATCAAGCTGGCTAGCTTCACATCTTGAGCTGCTTTCAAAGAAATCCATTATGACAGGTTGTCCAATCAGGTCAGGGAAGGGTGTAATAATGCACAGTTTGTGTTATTAGACACAGGGGAAAAAAAAGAAACTAAACTAAACTAATTTCCAGGGCTCATAAGGAAGATCAAACTAATGTTCTGGACACATAAGAAAGATCAAAGCCACTGATCAAAGATGTGGAAGAGACAGGTACCACTGCAGAGATCAGGGATTCAGTCTCTGGAGAGGAATCACCTCAGGGGGCTAGGGAGAGGGTTACTGTGACACAGAATGTGACTAGAATATGAGTGATTAACATGTACAGATTTGCACTGGCCACATCCCGAGCAAAGTACTCAGCACCATGTAGCAGCTATCACTAGGGACAAGGCTCCCAGGGAGCTTAAGAGCTTTACCCCTTACCCAGCATGAATGTAGGGCCTGAGCAGCCACGGTCCCCACTGAGGCCAAGGAAGGGAGAAACCACTTGCTTCACCAGCTCTTCCAGTTGCAGATAGCCCTCACTGGGGCCTGTGGGTTCATGAACACTCTGCAAATGAACAAGGTAGACGCATACAGGTCAGAGACAATTGCTACCATAGCAGGCCCGCATCAACATACCCAGATTGCCTTCCCATGTGTACAAGGCCTTAGGCACACAGGCATAAACCTTATTTCAGCACTTCACTTAGACCACCAACAAGCAAGAGACAAGGGTTCTTTTCTGGTCCTCCTTCTACAGATGGGAGATAACGACCCAGTGAGTTTAAGTAGCTTGCCCAGCCCAACACAGCCAGTGGAGGACAAACATCCTGAGCTGGATCCCAAGCTCTCTGGCTCTGAGGAGCAGAAAAGTGTTGCTTTAGTAGTAGTAGGCTTTCAGTGGCAGAGTGATGAGCCACTTCAAAAGCTCAGCATGACAGGAGCCTTCAAAACTAAGCCATGGGTAAACACCAACCACAGCGAATGGCCCCAACAACCAAGAAAGAAAGAAAAGCAGCCTGTAACTACCGTGTCCTAGAAAACTGGCAGGCGCCTTGGGAATGCAGCTTCTTAGTGGAATGGAGTTACAGGCATGCTCTGCAGAGGGACTGCAAGGATACAGGAACCACGTGGCAAGGGATGAGGCTGAGCAGGAGCCCAACCAGGCTCTGTGGGGTTGTTTTCAGTCTAAAAAATAAAAAAGGCACATTTCTAAAGTGTGCCCTCACTTAAACGCTCTGCAGGGCATTGAGGTGCTTTAGGGCTGGAGAAGCTTGTTGGGTAAGAAGGCAGAGAAAGGGAAATTCCTGCTGGCCAAGGACCCCTGCGTGAGCCACAGTTTCTGAAGAAACAAAGTCTTCTTTTAGGTCCTTGGTCTTTTCTTGGTCCTTCTTGGCTGCATCACAGAGATGAGGACAAAGGTATGTTCAGGAGTATGGATTCCCCAAGTGGTGCAAAAAAATATAGAAAGAGAAGCTGGTAGGCACAGGCTAGGGATGGAAAGGGCAAAGAAGAGAAGAGTTGCAGAGAAAACAAGTGGGCAGAATGCCAGCAGGCTGCCTGACACTTTATGGTGGTGATGGGAAGTAGGTGGCAAGGTAGCTCTCCATGCCCTCTGCTCCAGTTCCACTCATACTGCATTTAAAGCGTGCAAAAAATTGGCATCAGAAAAAAAAAAGGAAAGAAAAAGCAAGCCAGGTGATGGTGGCTCACGCCTATAATCCTTCTACCTATTCAGGAGGCTCAGATCTGAAGATTGCAGTTCAAAGCCGGCCTGCATAGGTAATGAGACTCGTTATCTCCAATGAACCACCAAAAAGAAAAAAAAAAAACACACAAAACCAGAAGTGGAGGTGTGTCTCAAATGGTAGGACACAACCTTGAGCAAAAATACTAAGGGACAGAATCCAGGCCTGCATTCAAGCCTCTGTACTGGCATGCACATGCATGCATACACCACACACACACACACACACACACACACACACACACACTTCAGAAGACGTATACAGAATTCTAAGTAAACTGGGAATCCTCCTGTCAGTAGAGAGAAAAAAAAAGCAGGGCCTTATTTATGCTCTGAGGGAACTATGCCATACCTCAAAGCAGTGAGAGCAGTTTCAACCACAAAACCACCTTGACTAGATTTTCAAAGCCCAGGAACTCTTCTTTCTTTATTTTTGTCCTTGGTAACTCTTACCTGGGTTCCCCCTCTAAACTTCCTCCCCATAATCCATAAACACTAGACAGGGAGAGGTTATAGAAAATAGAAAACTGCCAAAAGGTGGAAGGAAATGGACAATGGGCATACAACCTGACACTGGATGGTTTCCCAGAAACTCATCTCTTGAAAACTTGGCAGAGCCCTCCAAAATGGATCTGCCCTCATCCCTCTGCTTGCCTTCAACACTGGTAATGACATTTATGAGATCTTCATGGCTCCAAGCAAGATGCAAGTTCCCTTTGTTCAATAAAACATTAAGAACATTTGAGTCTGCCAGAAGCTGGTGGCTCACTCCTGTAATCCTACCTAGTCAGGGGGTAGCTGAAATGTGAAGACTGAGGTTCAAAGCCAGTTGGCTAAAAAAGTCTATGAAATGTTTATCTCCAACTAACCAGCAGAAAGCCAGAAATGGAGATATGACTCAAGTGGTAAAGTACCAGTCTTGAATAGAAAAAGCCAAGTGAGAGTATAAGGCCCTGAGTTCAAGCCCAGTACTGGGGTAAAATGTACATACATATGCATGTATGTACACACACACACACACACACACACACACACAGATTTGAGTGAGTGGGGGGGGGCCTCAGTCCCAGTTTCTGGATCTGCCTCTTGCAGAGACACCCTGACAACAGAAGGAGGACTTCTGCCATAGTAGGAGGACCTCTTGTATCTTAGGAAAGGAGGAGTTGCTTCAAAAATATTTGGAAAAGAGACAAAAAAGGGTGAGTAGAAGACTGGGAAATGGGGCTTTTCTCTGTGCTAGAGTCAGGTCATTTGGAAAAAATCAGCCCCATGTCTCATCACCCTGGAGAGTGAGAGCCCAGGGGGAGAATGGACAGTTCTAAGCACAGAGGCTGAAATTGTCTGAGGCAGAACAAGCCCCAAGGGCATGGCCAACCTGGTTGTTCCATCAGACCCACAGGCTGGTGCACCTGCTGCTGGAGGAGGACTTGGGCTAGGTTAAGGCCCATATTCATCACTGAGCCTCCCAGCCCAGGCTCCCTACCTCCTGTGTGAGAAAGAGCATGGCCAGGACACTTGAGAGAAACCATGCTTCTAATACCTAGGAGGCAATGGGAAGGAAGGCAGCAGTGGCCAGAAAGGCTGAGCAGAGAAGAGAAAGAACCAGGGCTGATGTGTGGCTGAACAGCCTAGCTCTACACAAATCTCTATGTGATCTTGAGCTAGTTAGCCAAGGCCTGAATCTCCATCTCTGCTTGACTCACAGAAGGACAAAAGTCACAGAAGGAATTCTCTTTGCCCAACTTCCCCAGGCATTTTCTAGGACCATGGAGCTTCTCTGTATTTCTCTTGGTTCAGGGAGGATCCCAGGGTAAGGGCATCATGGGATCTGAGGCCAGTGACCTGGCGTCCTATCCAAACTCTCACTAGCTGGTACTGTCATTCACCAAATGGTGGCTAATCAATGCCTACTATGAGACAAAGTGTGAGGACACAAGTGTGAACACAAAGCACAGGATCTGCTTTGACTGGAAGGAGGGTTAGGAATTCCAAGGACAGAGTGTTCTGAGAAGAGGGAACAGCAAACAGCAAGTTCCTGCTGTCATAGAGGCCAAAGGCCATCACACCAGGTAAGTCAGGTTCCAGGTCAGGCTGAAGAGGTGGGAGGGAACCCAGGCCCAGTTACTGAGATCAACTGACAAGAGTTTGATGCTGCCCCAAAGAAAGCAAATTGGGGCTGGTACTGGAGTGGATGGAAGATGGCTCTCTTAAGCTAGCTGGAGAATTCTGATAGATGATGGCTGTCAGACTGTCTTGGCACAGGATTAAGAACCTTACCATGTGGTTGATGTTTTTCATTATATAGAAACAGTCCCAAGTGCCCAAGCCCTGAGTTCAAACCACATGACTGACAGAAAAACAAAGAGATAGTCCTCCTGTTCCAGCATCACTAAACGAAATGAGGGGTCAACAGGTGAGAATCCCTCACCTGAAGAACTGGATCGATTCTCCTCCCAAAGGAAAAAAGAGAAAACGTGTGTGTGTGTGTGTGTTTGTGTGTGTAAATGCCTTCTTATCTTCAAAACACAAATAAAAACAGGATGTTGGAATCCCAATGTTACTACTCTGACAACCAGAATCCTCAACGGCTCATTTTTTACCCAAGATTTTTGGAACAATCAGATCTTTTTTTTTGTTGGTCGTGGGGCTTGAACTCTGGGCCTGGGCGCTGTCCCTCAGCTCTTCAGCTCAAGGCGAGCGCTCTACCACTTGAGCTACAGCGCCACTTCCTTTACCCAAGATTTTTGGGTGCCAAGCCCAAGTGAAGCTTTCTGGGATGTAAGCTACACAGACTTTTCTATCCACACTCCTTCTCCTTTCTTGACATAACAAGGTTGGGGCTGACATCTAATTCTAGTCAGTAATACCCAACCTCCATGCCTTAAGGCAGCTCTTCCTCCTCTCTGAGGACAGGAAAAGGGCAGAAAGCCTAGAAGGATGGCCCAGCTTAGAGAATCAAAAGAAAACAGCAGCTGGGTGAGGCAGGAGCCCCAGATGTCCCCATGTCTGATGTGCCATTCTTGTTTGTAAGGCTCCAAGAGGTCACCATGAGCCTGATGCAGTATGCTTCATCTATCAGCAGGAACCTTGGTTCCCCTGCTGGAACTAAGCCCCTACTTGATTCTAATGAAAGGTTACATCTGACTGGGAAAAGGGAAATCACCCAGCTCAAGGTAAGTCAATCCGATCCTTTTTAAATTTAGGTATAATTTTAAATTGAACTATCTTTTGCCAGCTAGGAGATTCCATGCAAGTGTGTAAACTCTATAGGTTTTTGTTTTCTTATTGGTGTTTGTTTGGCTTATTTAAAAAAGCAATACATTTCAAGTCCTTGGTCTGTGCTTGAAAAACAGCCAGGGACTAACAAGCATTAGCTCATTTTCTTGTTACTGGTTTAGAACTAGGATTAAGAGACACAGTAGGCAGCCATCTGTGTCTCTTGATGCAAACCCACAAGCTGAGACATGCCATGTTTGACCTGATGCAAACCAAAGCAATGGTCACAATTCTATAGGCCCAGAAAAACCAAGTCCAAGAACAGCTTAGCAAAGCCAGGTGAGGCAGCATCAGAGAGAAAGAGAGGGGGAAAAATCACACACAAAAACCAGACATTATTATAGACTTAATAGTGAAGAAATGCCTTGGCTCTGTGAACTGACTGTGGTCTTCCTCCATCAGAAAGCCTATCTCCCTGGGAGCCACCTGATTGATTTCTGGTCTGGCTCATGCTAGGTTAAAGTGGATTTTTTTGTTGATACTTGCAACCTTTGACTTCCTGACATATTTGGGGAAAAAGATGTCTACTTCCTGAATGGAGGATCATCTTTCATTTCCTCCCTACTGCAATGCCATTACCCAGCACAGTAGCAGGGACCAAACAGGTGCTCAGTGAACACACATCACACAAATGAACCAAGAAACATACACAAGCCTGGCACCCATGGCTCATGCCTGTAATCCTAGCTACCCAGAAGGGTGAGATCTAAGAACCACAGTTTGAAGCCAGCCCAGGGAAGAAAGTCCATAAGACTCTTATCTCCAACTAACCACCAGAAAACGGTAAGTGGCACTGTGACTCAAAGTGGTAGAGCACTGGCCTTGAGCAAAAGAGCTCAGGGACAGCACTCAGGCCCTGAGTTCAAGCCCCATGACCTACAAAAAGGAAACATCCACAAACTGATGAAGAACACTTAGCTAAGCTAAAGTGTTTGTCACTTGTTCTCTTCCGCTTACCCCATGATGGCCATCTCCTCTTTCGTTCCCTCCCTAGGCTGGATGGGCATACCTGCATGAGGGCCTCACCTGCAGAATCAGCAGCATCTGGACAATGGATGAGGGTAGCTTGGACTGTGACAGCAGCAAATCACCCAGCTTTACCTTCAGCAGGACCAGGTCTCGGAAGCCCAGCAGGGAGATCTGGCGGATGGTCAGTTCCTGTCCCTGGAGAGAAGAGATGAGGGAGGGTGAAAGGTGAGCATTTGACTGATCTGCTTCCAACCATAAAGAGTTCAGGACAGTATGTGTTTACAGAACATCCAGATGGGCCAGAAACAGATATCTGCAAAGCTCTGGGAGGCTGGCAAAGCTGAAGGCCAAGATCTGTCCTCTGGAATTAGGGCTTTGTGTAAGACAGAGGTGACTCAACATACTTAAATGGCCTAAAGACAATACAAAGTCCACATGATCCAGGTGGTGCTGACAGTCTGTGAGTGGTTAGGGAGAAGGAAAATGGGGGAAAACAAGAGAGATCAATGTCACTTCTCCAGTCATGGCTACTTCTTCAAGTTCATCAACATTTCTAGAATGACACTGATCAAGATACATTGTATTCATAAGCTGACATGTTGAGCTGAAACCCCTTTGTATAACTAAAGATAATGTTAAAAAAGAATAACATTTGTCATGAAAATATCTATGAGGTATTTTTTCATTTCTTTCTAAAATAACCACTGAATTTCGTTCATCTTTCTGTCATCTCACTGCCAACAAAAGGGACATTTTACAAAATGTAATCCTAGTTGTAAAGAAGTTCACTAGCTCAGGATTCCTATACATCCTAATTTAAAACAAAGAATGAACCGATATTGAACAAATATTTCTACACCCATAATCTTCCAGGAAGTTCAAGAAAACATCAGACTGTAGAGGTTTAGAGAAGATTTGTAGTTCCTTCATACACACAAATAATGTAGGAAGAAAAATAATTGGAAAAGTAGAAGGAAGGAGGTTGGGGGAATGAAGAGGGAGGTCAAAGATGAAAATAATAACAAGTAGACACAAGAGCTGGCATGTATTAGGCTCTGATAATAAGTTAGACACGATTCTGACTATTTCAGGTGGAAATAACACACATCCCTCACAACCACTGCTGTGGTCTAAATGTTTGGGCCCCTCTTAAATTCATAGGTTGAAATCCCAAACCCCAAGGTAATGGACTCTAGATGTGGGGCATTTGGGATCCCTTGGTGATCCCTTGTAAGTGGGATTAATGCCTTATAAAATAAAACAGGCCCTAGAGAGACCCAGGTCCCTTTCACCATGTGAAGATTCAACATCAAGTTGCCATCTATGAAGAAACAAGCCAGCTGGGCGCCGGCGGCTCACACCTGAAATTCTAGCCATTCACTGGCTTATCACGAGGCCCCGCTACCCCTTCAATTCACAGTGAATCAAGAGAGGGAATTCATATTAATCCAAAACTGGCTTCTCTAATTGTTTTAGGCTAGAAAAGAAAGCATAGTCACCACCTAGCCCATCTCCTCATAACCTCTGTCATCCAAAAAGGTACAGAAAATGCATTTGCATGGTTCCCGAGGTTCCACACAGTTCCCCTGGGCAGAGCCCAAAGAAAGAGTAAAAGCAAAGAATTCCACATCCCAGAAAATTATGAACATGTGGCCAGGACAGTGGAGAAAAAAAGGAGGAAGGAGGCAGCTGGCCCCTTCTGCCACCCTCTCCCCTAACATCCATTAGCTGCAGCCTTCCCACCTCCCAGTATTCCCATGCCACACTCTAAATTCTTGTCCCCCTTACCCATCTCAGATAGCTAACTAAAACAGGTTAGCACATGCAAATGTCCTGGGAAGCTGACAGGAGAAGGCAGTCAGCAGGGAGGAGGCTGTGGTAGAACAGAGAGCAAGCAAAATTCAAGTCTGTTGTTGGAAGATGAGATTGAACAGGGCAGTGTCAGTTACTTCCAGATCTGAGTTTTCAAGAGAACTATAATAGTACCATGCTGAGACTCATATGACAGGGATCCTGACAGGCTCTCAGCATCAGAGGACCCATCATTGCCTCTCGCTGTACTGGAGCTGTGTCCACTCAGTTCCCACATTCCCCACTTGGCCCTAACAGATCCCTATCGGTCCATGCATGCCCTTCCATGAGGGACAAATGCAGGATGTCCAGTTAAATCTGAGCCATGCTTTGGAATAAACATATCCCAGTATTGCACTACGTGTTTATTTTCATTCAAATATAACTTAGTAAGTATACTGCATGTTTATTTGCTAAGTCAGGCAACCCTTTTTCTCAAGTTTCTTCCTAAGATCCATGGCTGGCCAGAGGGTGACTATCTAGAGAAAGGAAGAGGGTAGGGATGCTGGGTAGGTGAGCCTGGAATAGGAGGAGAGGGGAGTAGGCTACAGCCTGGAGTAGCTACCTGCTGTGACTTACTGGAAAAGCCAGAAAGGAAGTCTGCAGGCCCAGCCTCCCAGGTGTGAAATACTTGGGCTATATTTGAAGCAATTCTAAGTCCCTTTAAAACACTATTCAACCACAGTCCTCAAGGGCCCTTCCCTGTGGTATGGGGAAATTCCAACCATTGTGTTAATAGCCAGGCTCCTATTCTGAATATTGGACTCCAACTTCAGCAAAGCCTTATTACAGGAAGCTTCAACCCCAGGGGAAGGGTGGAATGTGAGCTCCCTGAGGAGCGGTGAGGGCAGTGAGAGAGAGACAGACACAGAACATACTCTCTCCTAAAGGGAAAGAGGGGACTCGGGCCTGGTAGAAACTCCACAGAATTCACACGACTTTACCCAAAACCACACACCACCTCAAATCTGATTCTTTACTTAGCACTGTTTCTACTACATCATATAGTTCTATCTCAGAATCCCTTATGGAGGGTAAGGAATATTATTACCTTTTTCTGAGGGTTTCGGGACAACAGCAGTTTGCTTAAAAATTGTGCTTCAAATTGGGTAGAGTAGCTCACTCCTGTAATCCCTGCTACTGGGATGGGTGGAGATCAGGTGGGATGGAAGTTCAAGACCATCCAGGTCTAAGAGTTCATGAGACATCACCACCCACATCCCCACCAATAAGCCAGGCATGTTGATGCATGCTAAATAGGATAATTAGGAACTATAAAATAGTACTTGAAAAATAGCTAAAGCAAAAAAGGGGTTGGGAACCTGGCTCAAGTGGTAGAACACCTGCCAAACAAGTTCAAGGCCCCAACTTTATATCCCAGTAGTACACACACACACACACACACACACACACACACACACACACACAGTGTTTAAAGAAAACAGTGATGAAGGGGAGAGAGACAAAAGAGAGCAATGAAGAAGGTTGAGTATGACCAAAGCATATGTGATGCATGCATGAAAATATCAGCACAAAACCCATTATTTTGTACAATTAATATACACTAATAAATATTTTTAATTATGTTTCCAAAACTTGGAGGAAAAGAAAGGTTGGGGGTGAGGAGAGAGAAAGCAAAGTTTCCCTCTCAGTCTTCTCTACTTCAGAAAAGTAAGAAAGAATCAAACCAAACCACTCCAAGAATATAAAAACATACTGAAAACCAAGCAAGTAACCAGAGCTTAAAATTGCTAGTTATTCAGACTCTCATTTCTGTTTGAAATTTAGGAGCTTAATATAGAACAGAGAGCCCTCCAGAGCCCTTCATGGTCCCTCATGGACTAGAGGCCCCATCTCTCCTCCGTTAGGAAGGAGGCCTCAGCTTGTCAAGGTTAAAGGAAACAGACACGGAGTCCACTGACCTGAACGGGGTAAAATATTGCCTGCAGGGTTGGGAGGGTCTCAGTGAAGAAGTGGTCCCAGACTTCGGCCAGCACCTCAATGCGATTTTCACCTACACAAGGCGGGGAGGGGGCAAGAAGATGGACGGGGAGAGAGAAAGAGAAGAATTTGTCATTTTTTACTTGAGGGAGAGGCCACCAGACAGCTCCATCTCAAATGTAAAATGGCCTATGTGAAGCCAGGGACTGAGAATGTAGCTTAGTCGAAGAATGCTTACCTAGCATGCATGAATCCCTGGGTTCGATTCCTCAGTACCACATAAACAGAAAAAGGCACAAGTGGCGCTGTGGCTCAAGTGGTAGAGTGCTAGCCTTGAGCAAAAAAGAAGCTCAGGAACAGTGCCCAGGCCCTGAGTTCAAGCCCCAGGACTGGTAAAAAGAAAAAGAGAAGAAAAACAGGAAGCCAGGAGCTGTAAAAGCAGCGTAGTAGTGGTGGTGCAGTGTCTTTGTTCCTGGCTAAAACCACCAGAAATTCTCTGGGCAGAAATATACTTAGTTTCACTAGGATTCACACCGCATCACAACTCCCTTCACCACAGACACTAGACCAACAAGAGTTACTGCAGTAAAATGCACAACTATGTGAGGCCCACATTTGAGTGGGTTGTCTCTCAGTGGTGTCCCCAGTGTGTTAATATTTAGAGGTGATGATAACTTTAAGGGATGGGGATCTAGTGGAAGGTCATTGGGGGAAGAGAGGAAGAGTTAATTCCCTGGAGAGGGGCTATTAGAAGAGGGAACCTGACTCCTGACACCTGTCTGGCTGCCAGCTTTGCCATGCTCCTCTCTTATACACGTAGCCAACCTCTGTGATACAATCCACCATGAAGCCCTTATCGGAGACCAAACCCAGAGCCCACCAGCTCCTGAACTTTAAGCCATCCCAAACTGCAACCAAAACTAACCCCTTTATCAGATGTCCAATCTTGGAGATTTTCTGATCGCAATGGAAAAAAGACTGGTCTAGAAATAGGCAAATATACCTTTCTACCTCCCAACCACCATCCCCCCAAAAAGGGAGCTGAAACTAAAAAATTACACACACACACACACAAAAATGTTATCACCACACAAATGTTTATAACAGTCTCAGAAAGTGAGTTAATTTACAAACGAGACATCCCACCAGGTGACTGCTAGCCTATTTGATAGGCTCAGGAAGCCTAGTAATTGGTCCAAAGTCATACTGCTTGAAGGCAGAGCTAGGATTCCAGAACTTTCTCTCTTTACCACCCCAATCCAGGAAGATCATGTACACAGTTATGCTCTGCTCTTTTCTCTCTTAGCCACTAATTCAGTGCCCTTCAGGGTTTGAGCTGTCAGAGATACACAGATCTGAAAACTGTCACCTCCACCCACTGCTTTATGGTAGCTGGGAGGGGATTGTGCTCTGAAGAGGTCACCTCCAAAACACAGGACCCACCTGATTCATGCCTCCTCATCCCCAGGACTCAGCCGGGGCTCTGGCCAAGCACCACTTACTAGCTAAGAAGACACAAGTCGCCCTGCACAGCAGAGGGTTGTGAGAGGAAGCCTTCGAGGGGAAAGGAGCAGGGAGCCTGCTGCAGGCCGGGGGAGAGAGCCTGCAGGCTGGGGGGAGCCTGCTGGGCGGCTGCTGGTTAATGACCCAGATATCCGAGCTGGCAGGGCGCTGCCTTTGCTCATCCTAGGCAGAGAAACTAGGTCAGCCAAGATTAAGACACCAAGAGACGTGTTTGGCAAAAACACTGCCCATTCCACCGAACGGATCTTGATTCAGTTAGCGTCCCCCATCTATTAATTTCAAGGATAATAAGAGTACAGAAGAGGAAAAGGGTGTAAACAGTTGCTAACAGGCCCATGAGCTTACAAACTCTGTGTGTGTGTGTGTGTGTGTGTGTGTAAAATACAGGGAACAGTGCAGATCCTCAGATCCCTCTGCTCTCCTTACTTACTCAATGGCTTCCTTTACTCCCTTGCCTCCTCCACTAGAATAGCGGTGATGCACAGGCCCCAGTGGATCCTCCTTGACAGTCCCTTTCTGGTATTTAGTAGAGCCCCCGACACATCAATTAATCAAGTGTGTGTGTGTGTGTGTGTGTGTGTGTGTATGAGAGAGGGGGGGAGAGAGAGTGTGTGTGTATGAGAGAATGTGTGTGTGCACACACATGGGCATGCCAATACTAGAGTTTGAACTCAGGGCCTAGGCACCGTCCTTTAGCTTTTTGCTCAAGTCTGGCATTATACTTGAACCAGAGCTCCATTTTAGGCTTTTCAGTCATTAATTGGAGATAAGAGTCTCATGGACTTTTCCTGCCCAGGCTGACTTCAAACCATGATCCTCAGATCTCAGCCTCCTGAACAGCTAGGATTATAGGTGTGAGCCACCAGCACCAGCTATCAATTAATTTTTAAGATCCACCAGATGAATGAATGGCACATAGAAAGAGTAGAGGTTTACATGCTAGGTTCCCCTTCACCAAAAGGGGCAGAGTGGCGGGAAAGTCCAACAGACTGTAATGTTAGGTCACCCTAGTTCCTAAATCCAAAGTGAACCCCAACAACTAAAGGACATACCCCAGAAGGGACAAAGTTCAGTTGCCTTGTTGATGGTTCTTACCTTAAACCATCCACAACAAAGACCAGCAGAGACCCTGAAGACATAAGAAGGTAGGAGAAGGCCCTGCTTGGGCCTGGCTGGCTTCAGTGCCAAGATGGAGATCTACCACAGGGGAGCCCGGTAGCCCATAGAGTGTGACCAAGTCAGTGACTGCCTCCTGCTGGGAAGCTGAGCCAATTGCTGAGGGCAAACTTCAGAGAATAATGGAGGTTTAGAAAGGGCTCTCAAGGGAGTAGGTAGAGCGCTTGCCTTGCATGCCTGAGGCCCTGGGTTCGATTCCTCAGCACCACATAAGCAAAAAGAAAAAAACCAGAAGCGGTGCTGTAGCTCAAGTGGTAGAGTGCTAGCCTTGAGCTGAAGAGCTGAGGGACAGTGCCCAGACCCAGAGTTCAGGCTGCACGACTGGACCCCCCCCCAAAAAAAAGGGCTCTCAAAATGAGTATCAGGGAAACTGAGGTTCACACAAAGTGGCACTCCTCAGGGAAGAAAGAGGTAAAGGAAGCAGATAATTTCACTCCCAGAAAAAATGGCCCCATGAGTCAGGGACTTAGCTCCCTGCAAAAAGGAAAGAGGTTTACATGGAAGATGATAGATGTCTGCCTTGTGATGTACCTCAGGAGTTGAGGTCACCAGAAATACGTAAGAAGGTACAAGGAATTTCCTGTAGGTCAAGATGAAGGTCATTAAACTCTCAAATAACATGATGTCTTCTGCCCACAAGACTATGACAACTGGACATAAAAGTCCACCTGTCCTTTCTTCTCTGTCACCAAGCAGGGCTTTATATACACAGCAAGCACGAACATATAAAACACATAGAATCCAATACATTGACACAGACATTTGATGTCTGTGAGCCTCACATCAAACAATTTTAGGTAACCATTGCTCACCCTGCCTGGCTGTTTCTAAGTCTTCACTATGTATGTTGCTCAATTGAAGACTGAGTGAGAGAAGTCTAGCTTCCCCTCTGCAGAGCATGTGAATCTCCAGTCTTAACCAAGATTTTTTTTTGTCATACAGCTAGTTTTCCAAGTGCCCCCCCCCCAAATGTAGCTAGGGAAAATGCTTCTTGTACTGTACCTTCCTGCACACCTGTGTACCAACCCAACTCCAAAATGCAAATGTCCTTCATCTAAGCAAGTCACTTAAAAGTAAGGTCTCCCTTGGTACATAAGTGGATGAAGAAACATTGGGTACTCATACACTGAAATATTGTTCAGCCTTAAAAAAAATAGAGGGGAATCCTACATGGATGAACTTTGACAACATCACATTAAATGAGATAAGCCAGCCATGGAGGGACAACAGAGGCTATGTGATCCATGCACATGAGACTCCTAGAATAGTCAAATTTATGGAAACAAAACATAATAGTTGTTATCAGGGGCTATAAGAGAGGGCAAAGGGAAACATCTAGTAAGTTTTGTAAGGTTAAAAAAAAATCCTGGAGCTTTGCTATGTAAAAATGGGAAACCTGTAAACACCACTGAACTGTGATATGGCTAAAATTAAACATTTTGTGTCATTCACTTTTTTATAATTCGAAAAAAATAATTTGGTTTAACAGGCATTTATAAACTTGAAAAAAATCACAGCACGAAGCTGTAATCCCATCACTCAGGAGAATCCTCCGTTTAAGGGTCAGTTGGGGCTAAATAGTAAGAACTTGTGACATAAAACCTCAGGCATAAGAAGTCACAGCACAGAGTTGCTGTAGGGGGAAGGAAACCACAGCTCAATGCGATCTCAGATAGGCAGAGGTTAACTTCTTGCCCTGGTTCTTCCATAAGCCTGGGAGTGGGGGAGGATGGGTAGGGGTGGTACTTGCTATATGCCAAACACTAGAACTTTCCAGCATCTGTTTCTCATGTTCCTTCTCCAATGTCCTCCTTCTTTCCTAGACACTGCCTGAGAATGACTAGAACAAAGAGGAAGAAGAAAGGGAAGACTAGAGAAAAATAAAATAAATCCAGGCCCCAGCATGTAGACCTACTGTGTGCCAGAGGTGATATCCCATTAACCATGTGACTTACATGCTCCATAGGACCTCACTCCATGTTGTCACTTTAAAAATGATAACCACCAGGGAAGCTACTAGCTTGCCAAGTCACCCAGGAAGTAGCTGTCATGCTCTGATCATGTTCTATGTTGGCAGTCACCAAGAGTAGCCCTTGGTAGAGCTGTCAAGTTGGCCAGTGCTTGCCTTTGCAACCATCTCCTATTGGCAACCAGCTTCTTTCTAGCTGGTCAGTTAGATTCCAGAACCTTAGCATAGATGGAAACTTCCCTTTATCCAATCAGACCCCATGGAGTGGGGGCCAGCATGTCCAAATGTCCCCTCCATGAGGAGCCCAGTAAGTAGGAGGAAAACCCACAGAAAATAGCCTGGAGCTGATCACAGAGAAAGACATAGCAGGATCTACTCCATAATGAACCCCTTCCAAGGAGACCACCAGGAAGTACCATGGAAATCCCTTCCCAGAGGTCTCCAAGAAACCTACCCCAATCCAACTTCTTCATTTTTCCATGTACAGCTCTGTCATGCATGGCCTTGCCCTGAGCGGCTGACTTAATGGTTGGGACAAAGTGGACTGGGCTGACTCATTGGCTGGCACCTCGCACTTTAGGACAGAACTGTCTCAACGGTCCAGACATCAAAGGCTGAGTCATGGAGAGGCTGAGTCACAGAGAGAGAGAGAGGCCCAGATCCACAATCCATGTTGGGAGGAGGGGGGGGGTTGTAATAGGGTACTTGCCTTCACACAGCTTGACCTTCTCTTCCACAAAGAACAGCCCCTTCGCCAGAAGCTGGTTCTGCCAAAAGAGAACAAAAGAACACAGGAGTTGAGCAACTCCTCCACTTTCAAGTGGCAAGAGTGCAGAGTTCTAGGCACGGGTGTGCGGTCTCCTGCCCCCCACAAGCTGAAGCGGTTCCTTTGTTCTTTTGGAAGGCCAAGGTCTTGAGAGAACACTGACTGCTACCCCTTGGCCAACGACCAAATGTCACATGTCATGTCACTAGGGAAGGGACAAAACACGGGTTTGTCAGGATCCATTTGTTGTTGATACCCAGTGTCCCTGAGGCCTCAAAGGGGCTCTGGAGGTAATGGAAGGTAATGTAGGGATTTTTTTTTTAAAGATAAATTTGGGATCTCTCACACTCACATGAAAGAGACTTTATAAAATCTTAAACAGCAGTAGCAGCATGCGTTCCTCGGCGAGGGTGTGAAATCAAGCTAAGTCCTCTCAACCCTTCAGCTAGCAGTAGGTGGGTGGGTGGTGTCCCGCACCTGCCAGAGCTGTAACTCCTTCATCTCACTGAATTCAGTCCTATCAGATTGGTACTGTTTCTTTGTCTACTCATGGCAGTGAAGAGTCCCACGCATGGTGGGCAGAGCTGGGTCTAGAAACTTTGCTCTTTCCCCTCCTCCTTTGGTGCCTTCTGAGCTATTCTCTTGCCTAGACCTCCATCCCTCCCTCAGAGGGGGTACATCTGGTCCCTAAGACATAGAGCAGCCCCCCTGAGTCACAGAAGATTGGAGATCAGTGATGGTTAGTCTCCCTCCACACCTTTCTTGTCAGAGTAGCGAAGGCCTGTGCTCTCATGTTCCTCGGGAACCTGGGCTCTGCACGTGGAGTTTAACACCCTTCAGTTCCTGTCTTCATTTACCACCATGTCTATCTTTGAAGTTGTGCTTTACACATAAAGTCTGGGGAGGCGGGGAGGCAGGTCCTAGGAGGACAGAGCTTCCTTTCCTTGGAGTCCTGCCTCCAGCCCCCTCCCCGGGAGTTTTCAGGCACCTGATGTTTACACCATGGTTACCTGGGCTGCACCCAGACTCCCCTTCCCATGCCACCACAATGTCACTGTACTCCTGAGCGGTGACAGGGTGGCATTGTGGGACCTAGTCATGGTACAGGAGGAGGTCAGGTTGGGCATGTGTCTGCATTATTTTGACCAGGGACACGATGGCAGCTGTCCTTGGCCTGGCCTGGCAGCATCGGCACATTTGCTAGTGACACAGTGACCCTTTCTTGGATACCTACAGTCACATAGACTATACAGGTACAAGGGTTTTGATACACAAGAAGGAGGGAGAGAGGGAACAAAGGAGGGAGAAAAGAAGGAAGAAAGGAAGGAGAAAGAAAGGAGAAGAAAGAAAGAAGGCAAGGAAGGAAAGAGGGAGGGAAAGAGGGAGGAGAAAGACACCTCTAGAAGTATCTGTTCTCCCAGGCTATCCCCTCTGCTTGTCCCCATCCCTGGCAAATGTCCGCCTCCACAATGTTCTCCATGGATGTTCCCAGCTGTGGGGTGGCAGAGCTGAAGACCCTGCTTTTCTCCTGCCTGACTCTCTCCTGCTCCCCACCCCAAGGCTTCCAGCCAATGACAGTGAAATCTGATAGCGGCCACCGAGGAAACGACCTGGGGCTTGGCCAAGGGCCTGGTGCACTTCATGCATCTTCCCCCTTACCACAGTGACCTTGGACACGGATGAAATTGCACTTTAATGAAGTGGCAGAGGGATCTGGAAGTGAAAAGAGAGCTGACATTTTTTTCCCCCTCAGACACAGGAAAATGGGCTGTAAACAGAAATATGAGGCTCAGTTAAGAAGAAATGCAAGCAGCCACATCTAGGGAGAGAGATCCCAGCCACATAGCTTTCATGGGAAGAGCAGACCCAGTGCATCCTAGCTCATTGGTGGGTGTGAGGCAGTGGAGGTGAGTAGAGAAAAGGGGGAGCAGATTTGAGGGGTGGGATTTATACACCTCATCAGGAGGCATCTTTCAACCTGGTGAGAGGGACCTAGAAGAAAAAAAAAACACAGAAGTAACTAAGAATACTAGGGAGCCAGGTATAGTGCAACATGCCTATAATCCCAGCTACCTGAGAGGTGGAGGTAGGAGGATCATGATTTGAGGCCAACCCAGGTGAAAACAAGACTACCTAAAAAAGAAAAAAAAAGCAAAAGGACTGGGGGACTCCTCCCAGTTCAAGTGGTAGAGCACTTATCCAGTTAGCCAAAACCTGGAATCTAATCTCCAGAAGAAGACGATGAGGTGTTGGAAGAGGAGAACAAGAAAGAAGAGAAGGAGGAGGAGAAGGTGGGAGAAGGGGAGGAGGAGGAAGAGGAGGAGGAGGAGGAGGAAAAAAAGGAGGAGGAAGGGGAAAAGGAAGGGGAAGAGGAGAAAGAGGAGGAAGAGGAGGAGGAACAACTTGGGGAAAGGAAAAATGAATATAGCTAATTCTATTTTCCAGCAGCAACTTTCCACACTGAGTACGAACTCTGAATACCAAGATTTAATGCTTCTATAGCTGCTTACTGCTTTGGCTTGGGCAGGCCAGGAGTACACCTTTTTCATGTATTATCTCATTTTGCCCTTTCCATGAACCTAGTCTTCCCTTACAGATGAAGGAACTGAGGGAGGCCCAGAGAATCACTCAGCCAGAAATATGCTATCTGAGTTAGTCTAAACTCCAAGCCTATCTCCTTTCTCACCTTTCCCTGCATCACCACCACCACTTACTATAAAAATACTAAGCTGTTAGTGGTGGACTGCTCACTGTATACCAAGCCCTTGAAGGTCATCTCACTTAGTATTATACTTTACTTATGAAGTAGGCACCGTGATTCCCATATTACTACTAAGAAAACAGATTCAGAGAGGCTAAGTAACAAGCCTGAGGACACATAGCTTGTAAGCATCCTAGCAAGGACTGGAATCCAGGTCTACCTGGGAGAAGGCCTGGTGTACATTTAACATCAGGCTGCCCTGCCCTGGAGGAGCGTCTGGTGTGCTTGCCAGGAGGAAGAGATGAGGTCCGTATCAGGCTCAGACATGGGACAGAGCTTGGCAGCATCCAGGCCACAGAACAAGGTTCTACCAGAAGGTTTCCATCCACGTGGATTGTTTCTGCTGCCCAGCCCTATCCCCAACTGCCCAACTTCCACCTCTTTGAAAGCACTTTTCCAGCACCTTCCTTTCCACCATCCACATTCCAGTGTTTAGCAAGGGTGGATCTTAGAGGATCCCATTCCCAAAAGGGATCTGTTGGCTATGCCACTCTGCCTATTGAGAATTTAGGTTAGTTAGCCAGCATCCACCCTGGACACCCGTTTCTGGTGGTATCGATGTCTTCAAAGGTTCCTGTTATTGGCAAGAACTCCATGATGGAATCACTGACTACCTCCATGTTTTTCCTGTGACTCAAAGGCCAGCCACCAACTCTAACAATGCCTGCATTTCCTGTGAACCTAGATGCCTTTCCTACTCAAGCAATAAAATGGCCTCATCAACACAATTCACCCTGCAGACCCAGGGAACTCTTAATAAACCAGTCTCAGTGTGGGCACGTATGAAGAGAGCAGGAAAAAAATCCCTAGATGGCAAAGTAGCAAAGATCAAAAATAGCACCGATGTGAATTCTCCCTTCAGCACCATGACAGTAATAATTTAAAAAGTAGATTTGCACTTTTAAAATGATTTTTATAAGGAAGCAAAAAAAATCAGTATGTGTCTTATTGGCTAGACACTCAAAAACACAAATCCTGAAACTCTTTCTCCCCTAGGGCTTCACTTTTTCAAAGGAAACCTTGAAGACATTTTAACATTTCAAGGATGGCTCCCATGGCCTGGGTGGCTCTTTGCTCCAGCTTTTCTGAAGATCTAAGAGACAGAAGGTTCGGAGCCTGTAGAAAGGAGCTCATCATAACACAATCCGTTTCTTGGCCATTAGAAGGAAGAAAGGAGTTAGCCCAGTAAGTTAGTGTTCTCAGACTTGAGCGTGCGTAGAATTACCCAGGCTCCTCTTTGTTCCCTGTGAGTGGGCAAGGCCTGGGAATCTGCCTTCCTGTAGCCTAAGATTGGGATGATGATGAACATTGGAACCCAGGGACCACACCTTGAGAACCACTGACTTAGAACAGTGCCCGGCATGTAAGTACATTAACACTTTACCATTTTCGCCCTTTTAATAAATCTTGAAAAGCCTTCAGAAAAGTTTCTTGCCAGACATTAGTGGTTTGCACCTGTTATCCTAGCTACTCGGAGCCTGAGCTCTAAGGATGGAAGTTCAAAGACAGGAAGAGCAAGAAAGCCCATGAGACTCTGATCTTCAATTAACCAGCAAAAAGCCAGAAGTGAAGATGAATTTAAAAAGCTAAGGGAGAGTGCCCAGGTCCTGAATTCAAGTACCAGTGTTGATATGTGAGCACGCATACACGTGCACGCATGCGTGCGTGCGCGTGCACACACACACACACACACACAGAGTTTTGCCTTCCATATTGAACAAAAATTTCCAACACAGCTGGGTGCGGGTGGCTTGTGCTTGTCATCCTAGCTACTCAGGAGGCTGAGATCTGAGGATTGCAGTTCAAAGCCATCCCAGGCAGGAAAGTCTGTGAGACTCTTATGTCCAATTGACCACCAGAAAACTGGAAGCGGTGCTGTGGTTCAAGTGGTAGAGCACTTGCCTAGAGAGGAAGAGCTCAGGGATAGCATCCAGGCCCAGAGTTCAAGCCTCACGACTGGCCCCCAACACACATACACACACACACACACACAATTTCCAACACAGCCTTGACATTCCCTGTCTATTGATTGATCAAACACTTCTGCTTATTTTAACACCACATCCCCAGCATCTACTACTATGCCTCCTCTCTCTGCTCTAAACATAGCTCTTGACACACTGTGCCTGTCTACAAGAAATCACCCAATAGCATACATAATTGTCTCTGAAACTATATTCTCATGAGAAACAATACAATTACATAATGCAGGAGGAATTCTGGTCCCATACAGTTAAAAA